CAGTTTTAGCACTGCAAGTCCCATGTCCCAGGAAACCTCTCAGTCTCAGGCAAATCAGTACAGGTGATCACCCTCAGAAGCTCCGACTGGCCAAAAATGGGACAATGTGAGCATCTATAAGGATAAGAGCTACAGTGGATTGGCATCTTATATTATGTTTAAATCTATGAGTTCATAGTGATATCCAAAACAATGAACCAGTTGTTCATCTTTGGTGGCTATTAGGAAAGCAGTCCTCAGTTTTGAAAACTGATAAACCAGTGGAAAGAATCTGGTGTTTATTCTTACTGTTCTGTATGAACAGTACCACTGGGTAAACTAGTATAGATGAGGTAAAGTTTGTTCTCATAGAGATGTTTTATAAGCTAGCAAATAAAGGCAAAATGACATAACTAGAGTGTCACCATTTTGTATTCATTATTCTGTAATAGATTTTGACATTATCAGTGGCTGCTAACAACACAGAGAATCATACATATGTTATAAATACACTACTACCTAATGAATAAATTTGCTTAGAATACTAAACCTGTATCTGATGAAGCTGCCTACATTCATCTACTAAGGTATAAGGAATGTAGAAGACAGAGGGACTTGTTAAACTAGGGGAAGGCAATCAACTAAAACCAGTCTGTGGGAAACTGTATAGGACAGATGATCCCATATATTCAACAGATTGCAAAGGAAAAAAGATGCTAAAGGAACCCATTTAGATTTAAAAAGGGCAAAATTAGGACTTCCCTGGTGGTGCAGTGGTTAAGAATCTGCCTGCCAATGCAGGGGACACAGGTTCAATCCCTGGTCTGGGAAGATCCCACATGCCACAGAGCAACTAAGCCTGTGTACTACAACTACTGAGCCTGCGCTGTAGAGCCCACTAGCCACAACTACTGAGCCCGTGTGCCACAGCTACTGAGCCCACATGCCGCCACTACTGAAGCCCACGTGCTGCAACCACTGAAGCCTGCGTGCGTAGAGCCCACACTCTGCAGCAAGAGAAGCCACCACAATGAGAAGCCTGCACACTGCAATGAAGAGTAACCCCTGCTTGCCACAGCTAGAGAAAGCCTGCACGCAGCAGCGAAGACCCAAGGAAGGCAAAAAATAAAGTTAAAACAATAAAAATAAAAAGGGCAAAATTAAACTACAGCATTTAGGTATATATACTTCAGTGATAAAGCCATAAATGAAAGTAAGGAAGTGATTACCACAAAAGCCATAATGGTGTTTCTCTTGGTTAGGCTGGGGGAATAGGGAGGATGGCTGGAGGGTGTCGTGATTGGTAGTGGGTACATGGATGGCTTCTGTAGTGGCAGACCTGGTTTTGTTTCCTGATCTGCATGGTAGTTCCAGGTTCATTTAGCTATAATTTTTTTTTTTTTACATTTATTTATTTTTGAGTGCGTTGCATTTTCGTTGCTGCATGTGGGCTTTCTCTAGTTGCGGCGAGCAGGGGCTACTCTTCATTGTGGTGCGTGGGCTTCTCATTGCGGTGGCTTCTCTTGTTGTGGAGCACGGGCTCTAGAGCACAGGTTCAGTTGTTGTGGCACACGGGCTTAGTTGCTCCAAGGCAAGTGGGATCTTCCCGGACCAGGGCTCTAACCCGCGTCCTTTGCATTGGCAGGCGGATTTTTAACCACTGTGCCACCAGGGAAGCCCTTACTATAATTTCTGTATGTAGTTTTCTGTATTTGTAATATCTAAATCTATATTTTTAAAGGCTTAATTCTTTAGAGCAGTTTAGATTCACTGCAAAATTAAGACGAAGATATAGATTTCCCAAGTATTCCTTGCCCCACACATGCATAGCCTCCCCCTTAATCAGCATCTACCACCAGAGTGGCACATTTGTTACAGTGGGTGAACTTACATTGACACATCATTATGAAAGTCCATATTTCACTCTTGGTGTACATTCTATGGGTTTTGAAAAATGTATAATGATATATATCCATCATTATAGTATCATATGGAGTATTTCCAGTGCCCTAAACATCCTCTGTATTCTGACTCTTCATCCTCCCAACTCCTGGCAACCGCTGATCTGTTTACTGTCTCCATAGTTGTGTCTTTTCCAGAATGTGATATAGTTGGAATCATATAGTGTGTAGCCTTTTCAAATTGCCTCTTTCCC